GACGAAGAACATGTCTCACGTCCCGACGAGTCCGCGCAAGCGCGCCACGTCGCAGGACTTTACGCCCGACCACGTACCGCTTGACCGCGTGCCGACCCCGACCATTATCCCGGACGAGTTCGACGACGTCGTGTCGCCTACCTGGCCCGAGCAATCCGCCGCGACGTCGACCGCTCCAAGCGAGACGGACCCACGCGACACTCACGCCCAAGATGATCAAGATGCCCAAGGCGATCAAGATTATCAAGATGCTCAAGACGTTCAAGACGATCAAGGAACCGTACCGAGCTCCACGCAGCCTGCGCCCATGTACGACGCAGCTACCATCCAAGACATTATCGAGAAGGAAATCGCCGAGCGTACACGAAGACTCCTCGACGAACACGCGCGAGCCACGACACAGCTCAATGAAGCGCACCGCGAGCACGTCCGCCAACTGCACGTCGTATTGCTCGAACGTGACAACCTGCGTCAAGAACTCGACTCTTCAACTCGCACTGTGATGGCCATCAACGACAAGCTCAATGACCTCGATGCTCGACTGACCTCGTCCGAGACGTCACGCCAACACACCAACGCCGAGCTTAACGCCGCGCGTCATGCCTTGCATGCGTCTGAGCAACAACGCGACGTTGCGTTGGGCTACGCAAACAACTCCAAGACGGCACGCGACGAGCTCGCGCAGACACTCGCCGACACTCGACGTACCTTGAAAGAGGCCAACGCAGCTCGTGACGCGGCAGTCGCCATGGCGTCCTCGTCCGATCAAGACCGTGACACCGCGCATGCTTCTGCGACTCGCCAACTCCAGAACCAACTTGCCGCGAGCCAAAACGCCTACGCTCAAGTGGTTGCTGAGCGTGACGCAGCTCGATGCGACGTCGTCGCGGCACACCTCGCGCGTGATGCGGCCGTCCAAGCCGCTCACACCGCAGTGGCCGACCTCGAGTTAGCACGCGCCGAGCACTCCGACGTGGTTGCAAACCTCGAACAAGAATTCACCAACCTCTCGCTGGAACTCACCAAGACGCACGCCGCACTTCGTGGCGCTCACGTCTACTGTGCGCCCGCTCCGGCGCCGCCTCCGACCAGTCCGTTTGAACGCGACTTTGGCCACACCTACGCTCAGCCCGCAGACGCGCCCGTCTATCACCCTACGCCTCCCGGCGGCGGTGGTCTTCCTGGCGGCGGCGGCTTTCCTGGTGGCGGCGGTCCTCCAGGCGGCGGTGCTCCCGGTGGCGGCGGACCTCCCGGCCCTCCACACACGCCTCGCGGCGGTGGTACGCCTGGCGGTGGTATGCCTGGCGGCGGTGGTCCTCCCGGTGTCCCGCCCGGCGGCGGTGGTCCTCCCGGTGGCGGTGGCCCTCCTGGTGGCGGTGGCCCTCCAGGTGGTGCTGGTGGCGGCGGCATGCCTCAGCGCCCTTACGCCCCGACGTACTCCAACCCGCCGAACCTGCGGACTTTCAAGGTCGACAAGTTCACGGGCGAGCCCGCGTACCCGGGTTGCAGCGCAAACTTTCCCGAGCATCTCCAACTGCTTGAAGAAGCTATTCAGCGTGACGTGGCCTTCTACAACTCGCACTGGACGGACGAGCACCGACGCCACGTACTTCTGGGGTCTCTCGGCACTGCACCCAAGTCCTTCTACAACAGCCACGTGGAGCAGTGGAAGGCTGCCAAGCCTGACTTCGGCCTCCACGACCTCGTTACCCGGCTCACCGAACGCTATGCGTCGAAGCTCACGCACGACCAAGCTATGGAGTACATGCGGCAGCCCAAGAAGTACAACATGACGTGGGACGAGTTGGTTCGTTTCCTCCGTCACTTGCAGCGAGAAGTCAACGCACCGAACAGCCTCGTCCTCGACATGTTCGTCAAGTACGCCTGTCCCGAGCTCACGCTCACTCTCACGACGCTTATCAACCCCAACCGTCGTGAAGACGCCGAGATGTTGGACGTCGTGGTTACCAAGTTGTCCCAACTCACTGGCTCTGGCTACCAGTACGGTCGTCCTCGCTCGGCCACAACCCAGCCTACTCGCGACTCGCCCTACACCCCGCGCGCTCGCGCCAACGTCGCATCTGCGCCGGCGGCCGGTCGCGACGGACGTGGTTCCCACACTACCAACGGTCGTGGCGCCGAACACAGCGGTCGCACTGGACAAGGTCAAGATCAAGATCCAGGTCAAGGTCAACGCCCCGGTCACGCCCGTTCCGGCTCGCCAGGCCCGCCGCGCGCGCTTTATCAGTGCCCCGTCTGCCCCGACGAGTACCATTTCCCCAGTGACTGCCCTCGTTTCTTGGCACTGCGCCCTCCAAACGGTCGTGCCAACAACAGCGCCGGTCAAGTCGCGCCGGATACCGAGCCGACGACTGCTCGCGGCCGCCGCGCTCGCAACCGCGACCGCCGAGAATCGACTGCCCGTGCCCAACTAGCCGAGGCCGATCTCGACGACCAAATTGCTGAAGAACTCGCGTTTGCCGGCTCCGTCAACGGTCTCTCGAGCGCTGCTGCTTGCGCCGGTTTGTCCTCCGGTACTTTTCTTTTGGACTCTGGCTGCACGCATCATCTCGTCAACGACGCGTCGATGATTCACAACCCGACACCGTCGACACTGCGCGTCCAAGTCGCCAACAAGGACTACGTACACGCAACCGTTACTGGATCGATGCGCCTTAAATTCGCCGACACGGGTGCGGAACTCGTACTCAACGACGTCCACTGCGTACCCGACGTGCCCATGCACCTCATCTCCACGTCACTGCTGGACGACGAAGGCGTTTCTCAACTTTCGCACGGTGGCACGCTGCTGATCATGACAGGTCACCAGCCGCTGACCACATGCAAGAAGATCGGCTCACTCTGGCCGCTCAACTGCACGGCCCTCGAGCTCATGCCTAGCATCACGCTCCCACGGCCGGCACCCATGCTTCGGTCGGACAAGGGGGGGGCATCCACCTCCAAGGCGTTCAAGTCCTACCTCGCCGACAAGGGCATCGAACACCACAAGACGGTGAACCACGGCAGCCAGCTGCGCCGCATCCTGCGCTACCTCAAGGCGACGCGCACGTACGGTCTACACCTCGCGCCGCACCAGTCGGCCGGTCCGCTC